ATAAAATTTAACATAGAAATTTAAGAGAAAAAATTGTACTCTCAAAACTTAATTTCTATGATTCAAAACTTTTGTAATTATAAAATACTATAAATGAACAATTTTTTTATATTACATTTGATACATAAGAATTAATTGTTAATACATAAATTTAAATACCCATTAAAATTTTTAGATACATGAATTTGAATAAATTGATTTATAATTACTCTAAATTCATGTAATTCAAGATTCATCAAGTGAAAGTTATTGAATCTAGGTTAATGTGAATGTTAATTAATTGAGAATTAATAACACAAATTTCATAAATGACAATAATTATGCAGTATTTATTATATATCGAAAAACGAAAAATAAGGTATTATTGAAATAATTGAATAGTAGGAAGGTTAAAATCGTTTAAAAAATGATTTTCCCTTGATACGATATTTTAATAGATTATAGATATGTTTAAGTTCGATTCATGAATATAATCTTTTATAATATTGAATTGTTCAATGGCTCGACGTGTCCACGTAGATGTAATATTGCCGAATCATTTAATAGACGTATTTATGGTTAACTAAACAGTTGGTAGGGAGTCATTTGCAGACTAATAAAAATTTACATAAAAACTTGGAAAAGCAAACAAAGGTACCACCCGAAGAGGCATAACAGTGACATCTCAACCCCCAGCCAACCTTCTTAAATGATCAATTAATTAATTTAACTATTAGAAATGTAGCAAAGTAGGCTTATACTCTTGGAAAGGCCTTGGTAGAACATCTCCTTGAGTTTTTCTATTTTTAAAGAGTATACTCTATAATTTAAATAGCATCTCTAAATTTAGAGAATAAATTTTTTTTAATTATTTCAACAGGCACTTTATATTTAATACCTAGTTTTACTACTATAAAAAAATATTTATTATTTTTCCATATCTTATTATTTTCACTAGGGTTGGATATGGTCCGGTTCAGTTTGTTTCTCTTTCGATTCTAAAGAGAACTGAATCGAATTTGAATTTTCAGGTGTTTAATAAATGGAATCGTTGGGTCCAAATTTAATCATGGAATATTTCGGATTCAATTCCATTTGATTCAGTTCTCGGATTTCATACTGTAATCAAATCTTTTAATTATTACAAAGCGACATTAATTTAATTAATGATATGTTCAATATTAACTCTTACAAAAAAAAGTAGTCCAATCATAAATATTCTTTGCGTATCTATTTGTTAAGTTCATCATTTATTTGATTATTAAAATTATAAGAAGATGAAGATAGCTAACTCACAATAATTAAGATAGGCACAGTCGAGCTTCAATTCGATCTTTTCAGAACGGTAGAAACGACACTATGTAGAATAATGATTTTGGGTAAAGTTTAGGTCAATTTGATTAAATTGGACTTGAACTGAAAATTAAAAAAAGGAAATCATATTTTTGGGTTTGAACTAAATTAATTAATTAGCAAATTTATTTAAAAAAATAAAAAAATGTGGCTTATTTAAAATAAATAAATTAAAAAAATAGAGAGATTCGATTCTCGATTCAGACACTTGTTTGGGTATTTAACTTAAGAAGAAGAGCTCGATTAGTTTGGTTAAGTTTCGGTCGAGTTTGGTTCAGTCGATTTAATTAGAGAATTTTTTTCAACCCTAATTTTCACTAGCTTTTCTTTAAATTATTATATTATTTTTCATTGAAAATTAAAATATTTTGAATGCATTTAATTATAAAAGAGTGGATTCGACTCTCCAGATTTGAAGAACAAAATTCACTACAAAAATGTTAAAGGGACAGGGATTGGTGACAGAGCCGAGGTGGTACCCCTCCCCTTATATTTGTAAGAGGTTTGAATTCACTCTCTAAATTAAAAAGTTAATGCATAATTTTAAGAGTTCACTTTTTAAATTAAAAAATATATATTATTTAAAGAATTTTTTGAAAATGCTCTTATATAATTAATAATATGAGAAATTTTTTTAATGCGCTTGATGTAATAATTCTTTTTTTTTTTAATGGTTATGCTTTTGAACTAGTTTTTGTAATTTTAGTGAAAAAATTTAGTGCAAGTAGTGTTTTGTAATTCTAGAAACTTTATTAGACCAGTCATATTATTAAAAACGAATGGGTTTAAAATGAAATTATATCCAATGTACAAATGCGAAATGAAGAAAATGTAAAACTAATGCTGTCTAAAGGTTCGTTTGATAGAGTTCTGATTTTTGTTTTTGCTTTTATGGAATAAACTATCTTGGTTTACCTTCTTCTAAAAGTTCTTTTAACGAGAGAATTCTATTACATGTACATATGATTTTGTACACACAGACTAATAGATGCATTCATGAAATGAAGAATGTAAAACTAATGTTGTCTAAAAGTTTGTTTGACAGAGTTTTGATTTTTGCTTTTTAATGGAAGAGTTTTTAAGGAACTGTCTTGAATTAGTATTTATTTATTTATTATCCCCCCCCCCCCCCCCCCCCCTCCTCCTCTTATTATTTTTTG